CAACAGATTCTAAAATAGATAGCTCACTATGTTCAACATCTTGCATATGAACCAATTGAATAGATTTTTCCTCCTGTTCAATGATTAGTGATGATTCAACTTTTGGCTCCGATAAGGTAGGAAACATGATAGGATTAAAAATAATTTCTTTACTAGTATCAATGTTCAAATGATTGAAAGTATGCTTTGAAGGATGGAAAGCACGAGGACCCAACGGAACAGAAATATGGTTATCATTATGCGAGTGTCCGACATTAGATGAAACTGGAGACTTTTCCTTCTTCTCTTCTATTTGCTAACTTGCAAGAATTTTAGTCAAGTGGGAAAGTTGAGTTGTTAATTAAGATAATTGATTTTTCAACCTTCTACACTTTTCACGTAAATGACCAAGTGAATGTTTGGTATTGGTAACTCCAATTTCAAAGATTTCAACCTTTTTCTCTAGGGCAGTTTGGGTTTTTGAATGGTTACTAATGACATTGAAGATTGACCTTGATGATGACTTTGAGAAGCATGGCGTTGGTAACTGTTGTGTGACTTATGTGTCCCAAAGTAGTATTCTAGATAATCTTTATAATAAAACTCAGACTTACTATGGATTTTATGATGACTCCGATAAACTCTAGGAATGGAATATGTATAGTGATGACGCTGTGAAGAATTGTGAACATGAGACATTCTTGATGTTGGATAAATATATGAATAGACATCATAATGATCATATGAACTCATGATTGACTTTGAAAGATGAGAATAACTTAAGAATAAGTTCAAGAATGCAATTGATAATTACAAGAAGTGAGAAAACTTAAATAGGAGAAAATATGTTTTGAACTCTTTGCAAATTCTATAATTTTTCAATAAAAAAAAATATTAGTCTCAAATTCTAAGAGAGTATACATACCATAATCAAGAGAAAATTTTAAAAATTTTGGGGATGATTCTACAATTTTATGGATTTGTTGGAGATGTTTCTACAATTCTAAAACTTTTTACGGGTGTTTTATAATTTTTGAAATAGCTGGAATGTTGCAGCAATTCCTGAATCTGTTGGGGACAGTTCTTTTTTTTTTTTTTTCACTGTTTATGGCGATGAACAGTGTTTTTCAATGAATAATAAACAGTCTCGATGAACAATTTTTTTTTTTTTTGGTGATTTGTACGAATCGAAGTTGGACTCTGACACCAAATTGATGTAAATCGTATTAGTTCTAATACTAAATTGATATAGATCGTAGTAAGGAAGAATTAGAGATGAGAAGGAAAGAAGAAAATGATAAGAAAAGAAAAAGAAGCGGATGAGAATAGAGAGAGAATTGAGGAAGAAGGATTCAATATCAATAATCAATAAAAATCAAAAGTATCCCACAACAAATATGTATCCCCTATATATATAGGGAGTTCACAAATTCTATATATATAAGGAGGTCACAAACCCTAAAACAAATAAATAATCAAAATGACAACTAAACCCTTAAAAGTTAAAAAAAAGATTTAAAAGATAACTATTAAAAGTATCTAAATAACTATCATAATTAATCTATAATATCTATCTTATTCCTACACGATCCCCATCACTTAACATTTAACAAAATTGCTTAACTCCTAAGATTTTGAAGAATCACTTAATTTCATTTTTGAAGGCCACATATAGAATTGAGTTGTCTCCAACTTCAACTGTAAATAATAATTAAATCAAATATACTATAGAATGAAAAAAAATATATATGTAAACACCAAGAATCAAATCATTAATAAATGAGCTGGCAAACACACTAATAATACTCACACCTACCTGTACATGGCTTAAGTGCCTTATGTTTGTCATATGATATCTTGATACCTAGGATTAGCATAACTTGAGGTTCCCTTAAAATATTGCCCCAATATTTTTAGTAAATTGATCAAAAGGCAAGTAGTTTAGTAGAGAAACTGAAATTCCAACCATTATTAGTGAAAAGTAGGTATTCCAAAAATATGTGTGCTTCTAGCTTAATCCTGACACTTTTATGGTTTATCTGGATAAACTTTTACGAGATATATTTACGTGTTCTGTGTTCTTTTTACTTCGTTAATTTAACTGTGTATGACCTTGTTCATAATATTCTCCACTATTTAAGTCGGATTTCATGAGGCATACAATTGAAGAAAATCGTATAACTCCTAAGTTTTGAAAACTATTTTTTTGTAAGTTGTTGTGTTTCCAACTTGAAAGCTAACTTTTACCCCAAGAACCAAAAACTTCAAAGCTAACTGTAAGTTACTAGTAAATCAAGGATAGTATAAATTGGACAAAATATATGTAAACACCAAGAATCATGAATAAATGAGCTGGCAAACACACTAATTATATTCACACCTACCTGTACACCTGTTCATGGCTTTGTGCCTTATGTTTGGCATATGGTACCTTGATAACATTCCATTATTGTTCAATCAGTATGCATTTTCACTAGGATTAATCAGATATAACTAGTTTGTTAGGGATGCTGAGATTATAACTATTCTTTGTCAGTTTTGGATATAGTTATTCACATTGGGAATATCTAGGACTGACAATATCACATAGAAATACAGAGATTTTAGTATTTCTGCTTCTTGCCTAATCATACCACATTTATGGTTTGATTTATCAGGAATGTGGCCATTTTTCATTGAAAATCTAACAATCGTTTGAGTTTATGGCTATGTGAAACGTATTAAAATAGTTAAAGCGACAATATTAGAAAAGTGACAATAATCGAGATAAAAAGTGAACCTTTTTCAATAGTTTCACGGCAATATGAAAAAAAATTTAATAGTAGATGGGATAAAATGAGATCGCCTCAAGTTAAGATGCACCAAATCTTGAGTAATAAATGCTCCTTTGCAGCGCATATTTGTGGCAGCATTCAAGTTAGGTGAAGCCAAAGGTTTCTTCCATGCCTTGTAAATTTAGGAAGATTACCCTTCTTTGTAGCTATATTATTAATATTGGATTTTATAAAACTTTTAAATCCTAAAGAAACTCTCTCTAAGCACTAATATATGCATTCAGAATAGAGTGATACTATTTAGACATAAAAATCTGATTTTACTTACTTACATAATGATGTAATTTAATTCGAATAATTGGATAAATATCAATTTTTAATGTTTGATATAACCCATATTCAATTTAAAGATTACAGTGAAATAGGTCACAATAATATTACTCATCAGAATAACCATACATTCTTTACAAAATAAGATGGTCTTGTAAGTTCTATATATCTTTGGCATGTGACACTTTTTTTTTATTTAAAATTTTTTTTTAGTTTATTTATAATGGACTTGGTTCAAATAATAAACACAAAGGGTTATTTATTGTCACAATATCTATTCGATTTGACTATATTGATTGAAATTTGGAAAAAGAGCTTTTAAAAATAAATTATGACAATGCTTTAATTGACTAGATACACCTACTTTATGGACAATTTTGTTAATTTCTAATTTACATTTTAAATATGTTGTTATTGTATACCTATATTTTTACTATTTATAAATGTTAGCATCTGTAAAAAAATTTAATTTCTTAATTTATCCCTAATTATTATCGTAAAATCAATTATACCTACATATTTATTTTCATATAATTTTTATTTTTTATTCATATTTAACTTCTAAGTTCTTTTGGACTCTTTTATAAGTAGTATTTGATTTTTAAATTATTTTGAACTCAGTTATTAGTAGTTTACTTACATACAGTCTTTTGTATTCTATTATTATCTACATTTAGTTGTCAGATTGACTTTTACTATCAAATATATATCATATATAATTTTTTTTATACGCAATAATATCATAATATTATAATATAAATAATATTTTATAATTTATTTAATCTCTTTGATAAAAAAATATAATAAATATTTAATATATTAAGATATTCAAATAAATGACAATCTTACAATGAAACTTTATTATAAATAAAAGAAAAAATGTTTAAAGTAACTAGGAAGAAACCTTAAAAAATAAAAAAAAATTAGATACTCAAATATTGGTATAATAAATAAATAATTAAAATGAGAATTAATTATTTCGGAACATAATTTGTTATTTAATTAGATTATAAAAATAATTTAAATTTTTTATAAATATTTTTTATTTAAATATGTTTAGGCGTGATAGACTATTATACCAGCTTCAAAGATTGTCGAGATCTTTGGCGAAGAGTCTCAGTCTCAGACGTAACATTATGGCTTTCCAATCGATCGTGTGAATGCCTCCCATCCAAATCTACGCATATCTCAAGAGCCAACGATTCTCAACCCTTTTGTTGTCTGTTTTGTTTAACTGTTTTTAACACTTTAGCAGTGGACAACTCGAATCCAACCAGCACCGGCCAAAATAAAACGAATAAAGAAAAATAAACAGATAGAGACAGCAAGTAGGATCTTGCAGCCACCGAGTGGGGTGTTCAAGTGAAATACCAATCGAACTTCTCATCATAAAGTTGAATGTTTGAGTTATAGAGTTGATCGTTATACTAGTACAACTATGTTCGTTCCCAAAAAGAGTAATAGGTGCGGTCAGGGACCTTATGATTCCACCAATAAAGTCTTATCGAAGTGGTTTTTGAGCACTCTCTTTTACTTCATCCATTTTCTCTAATAACAAAAAAAAAAAAGTAATATATCTTCCAACATGGGTGAATTCAATATGAAATGCCCAAAATTAGTATTCATTTATTCTTTAGGCTTTTATGATCAATGGGTTTTTGGTTAATAATATTCTTTAATTTGTGAAGATTTTATTTTTTAAAGTTAAGGGTTGAAATCTCATTTCCCCTCTCACTTCCAAAAAAAAAAAAAAAATATGACCTTCAACATAATATATTTTTTGATACATATAACTAAGGTTCAGAATTCAACTCGTAGTTGATGTGAAATTCAACACATGAATTGTCATAATTACAAGAGAAAAAAAATTCCCCTCCCTCAATCCCTAGTCTCTCTACAGTAGTTCCTCTAGAGCCATCACTTCCATAATCTCTCTACACTGGATCCTCTAGAGCCATCACTTCCCATCCACCACCTCAGATTTGTAGCACCACCAAACCTAACTCTATCACCACTCTGAACCGCATTGCATACAACAATCAATCATTGTCATTGGACACACACCATCAACTTTTCACAGCCATCACCAAACTCAAAATATCGGTTTGACTAGAGTATCGACTATCATTTTTTGGTATGATACCAAAAAAATAAAATAAACGATTGATAAATAATGAAAAACTTCCACCGGTGATCAAGTCTAACACTTTTTGCCGACTACCCATCAACACTTTTTACCGACTATTTACCACTGAGCCTTACGCTTTTATAAAAAAAAAAAAAAAAACACAGACGAAGAAGAAGGAGTTGTAGAATTGTTTTTATCCCTGTGAACGCTTTAAGAGATTATAAAATCATCATCATTAAAACTAAGATTAAGCAATAGTCTTTTCATAAAAAAAAAAAAAAAACTCAAACAGGGAAGAAGAAGGAGAAATATCAAAACATGGAGTTGCAGAATTGTTTTTATCCCTATAAACCCTTCAAGAGACTAGAACTCTCCTCCTCCACCTCACATAAACTGCATCTACTAGCAAGAGACTGAATACTTAATTCACATAACAAATTAATATTACATTAAAACATTCAATTTATCAAATTAATATTAAAATTCAACTTAATTAATATTAAATTCATCCAATTTATATCCAAAATCATTCAATTAACATCCAATAAAAATTCACTTTGTTAAACTAACATTCAATTTCATCGATTTATATTTAATTTATCAAATTAACTTCTGTCTACCATTCAACTCATCAAATTAGATTAACATTCATATCCATCCAATTACCACTTAATTCAATAAATTAACATCTGAAATAATCGTCAATTAATCAAATTTTTAGTGTATACGGTGTAAGAATACAACTTTTTTAGTGTATTTTTAGGGGTAAAATTACGGTAAGAATCTATAATCTTACTACTAAATTATCACAATCATGCTTATCACAATCATTACCATGCTCATTTTATATATAAAGAACAAAGATATTTTAGATTTTTGACAAAACACTACTGCTAGTTCAACTACAATTACATACAATTGTCACTACTGCTAGTTCAACTATTGTATCAAAAACCAACAACTACAATTACATATAATTGTCACTTCCTAGCTATTGCTCTTCTTTTCATAAAAAAAAGACTCAATTCTATCCAACCTACTATCGATCCCCTTCAGAGACTCATTTATTTCATTTTGAGTATTTTCAAATTTCTCTATCTTTCTGCCCAATCGTACCAACAACATTCCATATACCTGCAATGGATCAGGAGGAAGACCAGTTGTGGAAGAATTTGGGACACCAGCTGTGGAAGAATTTGGGACACCAGCGGTGGAAGAATTTGGGACATCCTGGGCTTGGGCTTCATCATCATCAGCTTCAACTTCATTCTCGACTTGTGGCTAAGGTTGTTGAGTTTTATTCTTCTTTCTTACCCCAAACTCTTCTTTATTGTCCCACCATAAATTGGATTCATGGGAGTGGAGTAAGTGTTGCTTGAGTGAATCACAATTCTACAATCCTCCATAATCTTTGAAATCAAAATTGGGAATGAGAGACATCGTCGCCTATCCTTCATACCTTGTACCGAAATAATTTCATCAACTATTAAACAAGGTAAATCTATACATATACCATGTCCAATGACATACAAGAGATGAGCTCGATCAAATCCAAAATTAGTAGTATGTCCTCTTGGTATAATATTGTACCCCCACTATAAGATTTAACATCCTATATTTGGGAGTACGGTCTTGTTGAAAAAATTCTGGATTGTCAACACTCTCACTAAATTTATTAGGTAAACCCTCAATTTCTGCATGAACATCTTTCAGTTTAGGTATGTCCTTAAAATTCTTGATTGGATAGGTAAGGGTATTGTTAGGAATGAAGGGTCGACAAACTCCCAATATTTTTGAAACTAACTCTGGAGTTACTTCAAAACTTACGTTCCTCATAAGGGACTTAAACTTGTGATCATCTCTATTAATATCATACATATTAGAATAAAATATCTTCACCAATGTATAATATGCTTTATCTGTCTTCTTGATATCTACCACAAAATTCCATTGATGAAGAGAAAAAATAACATCACATTCTACCTCTTTTAATTGATCTAATAAAACACTCTTTCCAATAACAAAGGCCTATAATTAAAGCAGTTCTCACACCACTGTTTACGATTGTTGTTGAAGAAAGATATGTCCTCATTGCATATGAGGTTGGATGAACTTGGTGGATGATTAACAGTGGGATCAATTGGATTGAAGAAGGTGGGATCAACAGTGGAATCAATGGAGGAAAGATGATTACATTTGTTCTTCGAGTAGGAGGAGGGAGGATCATTACAGTTTTTCTTCCTCTTCATTTTTTCACTGGTATCTACAACTTTTGACCTATATTTCTTTCTATCGGTCATTCTGTTGTAACAAGAAAAAAATCTAGTAAAAAAAAGAGTAATAACATGGAAAATTATCTATTATTTTGAGCAATAACAATTGATGAAAATGTAAGGAAAATAGGATTGCATTACTTTTGAACCATTACTCACAAAAATCATAATTTGTTCAACCCCAAAACACATCCCTTATGCAACTATTTGTAAAAAAAATTTATGAAATTGAGAGAGAGACAGAGACAACTATGTAGGGCTGTTAGTTGAATGAGCCCGAGTATTTGCACATAGACGAGTCAAGTTTCTCGAGTTTAAGCCGAACTTGTATGACTTGTTTTCTAAATGAGCCTAAAAACTTGTTCAAGTTCGGGCTCGTTTAGAAAATAAACCGAGTTTGAACGAGCTGAACTCGAGTCGAAGTCAAACCAAGCTCAAATAGCTCAGTTTGATTAATAGCCCTACAACTATGTATACAAAAATATGATGAAAGAAACTTAATTTTTCGCTAATTAAACCAAAAAAGAAAAGAAAAGAAAACTACAGTAGAAGAGCCGAATTCTCGTGACAATCACTGTATAGTATACACTCTACACACAAGTTAGATAACCACGAGACCCCAAGTCGCAGGCATCTTTCTTTCTCTTCTCTGACGAAGAAGCATGATGTAGGCTGTTTCGTAGGGCACCAAACTTTGAAGCCCTCACATGATTTAGGGTTTTGGGTAGGGGTGTCAATTTTTGACTCGAACACAAACTCGACTCGAACCGAACCTGACACAAACCCAAAAATAACACGATTTGTTGACACGAGAAGTAAATGAGTTAAATTAAGGTTCAACACGAATAACAAGACTAATGAGTACTGTAAATAAAAAATAATTATTTAATGAGTATTTTAGATATAAAATAAGAATTTTATAATTTTTTAAATAATATTATATTAGTTGTTTTCAAATTAAATAATTTTTTATTAACACGAATATTGACACGAACCCGACACATACCGAAAGTGATGCGATACGAAAATAAGACGACCGAAAGTGACACGACATGAAACTGATACGACACGAGACACCCCTAGTTTTAGGTATGCAATCAGGATGAGTTTTCATCGATTTGGGCTTAGATTTGGGGTTAGATCGTTGATTTAGGGTTAGATCACTGATTTAGGGTTTGAGGAGTTAGATTTTCAGTTTCCTTTTTGTTTGTTTGGGGGAATAGAAGAAAAATTTTGATCGCTATGTTGAGTGATCTAACTTGGATCGCTATTTAGCGATCGGGCATTCCCTAGCGATCAAGTTTGCAAACCAATCTTGATCGCTGACTAATCTTGATCGCTCAAACCATCTATCAAGATTTTAGCTTCACTAAATTTCACTTATACCTCAAAATTATCACTTTTTTTCAATTTTTCCTCATATTTTATATATTACACCCTCAACTTTTAATTAATTTCATATTTTCTCAAATTATTTGACCTATTTTAATTTAACATATTTGATAACTTTGCTAGAATTTATTTAGCTTGAAAAACAAATGTTGTAATAATTTTAACTTCAACCAAAATATAACCCCAAAAAATGACAATTTTACCCAAAAAAATTGTGACAATATAACTTGTTGTAACATTTTAGTAATAGCCAAAAAAAAAAAAATACGTGCTAAACTTTAATTGTAATTTACCCTCCGTAAACTTAATAACTTAATCCTAACCTCTAATATTTTTAAAATTTAATGTCACTCAATCACCTATTGTAAAATTTTTCTTATATTTTTATTTCAGTTTTAAATATGATAAATAATTATAATTTTTTAAAACTAATTATAATTTTTATTATCAATTAAAATAGTGGTGAACTTAGATATTGTAAATTGTTTATTATATTTTTATTTAGGTTTAAACAAGATAAATAATTATCATTTTTTAAAAATAATTTTAATTTCTATTATCACTTTTTTTTAAGTGTGTAGCGGTTTTATTTATTTTTAAAATATATACATGTTAAACCCGTTATAGGTTTTTATTATATTTTTATTTAGGTTTAATTAAGATAAATAATTATCATTTTTTAAAACTAATTTTAATTTATATTATCACATTTTTTTAAGTTTGTAGAGGTTTTATTTATTTTTAAAATATATATCAATTAAATCAATTATACGTTTTAATAAATTTAAGAGTATATAAGTGTGAACCCTACATCCATTTTATCTTTTCGGTATCGTACTAATTTTTGCCTTTTTTTTTCTATAAAGCCAACTCCGAAAACATCACATTACAACCCAATCAAGCGCTATCCCATAGTGTAATTGAATTTCATCCCATCAAATATTAGTCAAACGCCGCCACGCAAATAGGGACGTGGGTCGCCAAAAATGAATCAAGGGCAGATGTGACGAGAGAAAGGTCAGTTGTACGAATGAACGAATGGGGAATGTGGCGACGTGACAGGTGAACTACGGGCCGACGTGTATACCACAATTGAAAACTTTGCTGAGTTATCTTTGAAAGTTGATGTAAAATTAGCAACATGGGTATCATTGCCTTCATTGGCCGAAAAAGGGGCAATGGGTGGAGGAAGAGACGTTACAAGCACAGAAAATACACCGAGTTTGAAATATTTTCTCAATTGTTATCTTTTTATCTTTTTATAGACCGAGTTTGATTATTAAATTGTTTATTATTTATTTGGTTAATTATTATTTTTAGTAAAAATTGGTCATAATTCTATTGAAGTGTATTTTTTTATCTTTTAAGACTAATACTATATAAATTTAAAAATTATATTTGATAATTAAAATTATTAAATAGTTAGTAAATCTCAATAAATATTAGAACTTACAGTAAAATCAATAATTGTAATTATTAAATTTAATTTTTAAATTCATATAAAATTAACAATAATACTAACCTAATTTGGAGCCAGCATTACCGTATAACATTACTCATCTTTTAATTCACACATTGCACTTTTATGATTTTAAGTCCATATCAGCGTTTTTTTTTTTTTTTTTTTTTGTAATTCAATCTAATTTTTCTATGTTTTTATATTACCAACTTACCCTTTAGTATTCTCTCTTATCTTTTGTTCTGTTCTCTCCAGCTCTTATGAGTTTCATCTCCTTATGTTCCCGTACAGACACCTACAATACAAGAACCCACTGTCTATGCCTTCTTCTATGTCGAAGTCGTCGTGGAGAGAAATTGTTGAAGGCCATTCAAGAGCTTCGGTGAAGTGAAGAATCACCCACTTGAGCTCCGGCGAATGGGCTTAAAATGATGAAAACCAAGACAAGAAAGAAGAGGAGATGGGCTTCTGAATATGAAATCGCCATTGATGTCCAAATGTGGCTCCATATGAACACTTCGTTCCTTATATCATAACTACTGCTAAAAGTCCCAAAACTCCGAGGTGGTGACAAACTCTTTTCAACTCTTTCCACCAAATCTATCTATACCTCCTATACATACATTTCTCTGTATCTATCCATCTATATGTTTTTTCTATGTGTGTGTGCGTGTTTCTTCGAAACCAGTTCAAATCACTTCCATGGCTAACGAGCAGTACGAGTAGAGAGAGAAAGGGATCGGAGATAATCGGAGGGACGGTCAAAGAGGGACAGGAGGAGCAAACGGAGAATCAAATCAGCCAAAAATAAAATTTTTACTGTCAGACATTTATATTAGATAAAATTTACTGTTTAAAATGTTGTGTATTTTAACGCCAAGAAAATTAGGTAAATTAAGGTCTAATTTTATTGACCAAAATGCAGAAATAAATTCAATTTTACCCTCCTAAACATTAAAATTAGATAAATTTTACTGTTTCACATTTATTGTTTTAATTTAATTTGAGGTAGTATGTTGTGGTTAACTTTTTTTTCGTTCAATAATTTTTCATTTTTTTAGATTTCATTGTTTTTTCACTATTTTTTAGTTGAGTAATTTTTCATTGTTTTACATTATTTTTGAAATGAGTCATTTTCATTGTTTATAGACTAGTTTTTTACTCTTTTGGATGGTGGGTAGGGATGACAGTGAACTGAAACGAGAGCCGAATGTGTAGTTTCCATCCCCGTACCTACTTAAAAACTCTGTCCAGCCCGGTCCACCCTCGTTAACGGATATAATTTTCATCTCCATTCTCGTTCGCGGATAAATTTGTAATCCTCGCATTCACCTCTGCTCAAGCCCAAGCCCAAGCCCAGACCCAGCATAATCTAACATTGTAAATAATTCAAAAAATTGCATGACACCAACGAAAGATTGCAACATAATTTTTCTCATTAATAATGATTAACATGTGGTACAGTGAGTATGCAAGAAATCTATCTAGCACTTTTCAAGCAAAAAGTCTATCCAATAATTTTTAAATAGCAAAAATCATATTCAAGTAGAATAAACTCAAAAATCAGCAAAAACCATATCTAACGCTATAATTAGAATTCAACAAATACCATATTCAAGTAGCATAAAATTAGAAAATTCAAAATATTGCATATCTAACACATGAAAATTGCAGATTTAACAAAAAAAAAAAAAACCAGAACAAGCAACATCTAAAAACATCGTATCTAACGCACCATAGATCCGAAACAAAAACTTTCGATAGCTAACACAACACAAATGCTTAGATCTAACAAAATTTATCACAAATCTAACAAAAGTCATCAAAACGTACACAAAAGGTAATAGATTTTACCTTATTAGACAAAGAAAAAAAAGTGGGCCATTGAATTTTGATATTAACTTTATGGGTGCGTGGGTGAGAATGGGATTAGGGTTTATGATCTTATATATATATATATATATCCCTACCTTCATCCCCGTGCAGGTTTAACGGGTTTGAATGAATACCTTTTTTTCTCCGGTCCACTGCCATCCCTAGTGGTGAGCAGTGGTGATGGTGACGATGTTTGGTGGTGTTAGGGATGGTGGATTATGGTGGTGGGTGGTGTTTGGTGGCGATGTTGGGTGGTGGGTTAAGTTTTTACTATTTTGCGTGATAGGTTAAGTTTTTATTCTTTTGAGAGGTAGATGGAGGTGGTTGGCAGTGATGCTGGGGTGGTGGGTTAGATTTTTACTATTTTAGGTGATGAGTTAGTTTTTTACTGTTTTTTGTGGTGGATTAATTTTTTACTATTTTGCATAGTGGATTAGTTTTTTAATATTTTGGATGATGGTGGTTGGCAGAAATGATGAGTAGTGGTGGCGGTGGCGATTTGTGGGTCGTGGTGAGTGGATAGTAGTTGTGGATTTGGTTGTGGGTGACGACAATGTTGAATGGTAGGTTAGTTTTTTATTGTTTTAGATAGTGAGCTAATTTTTACTATTTTTAGGTGATGGGTAGTGGTTGGTGGTGGGGTGAGAGAGGGGTGGTGATGTTGGTGGTGGTAGTGGGCGATGATGGTGGTGAATTATGGTGGTAGGTTGTGGTTGGCAACGATTGTGGGTGTGGTTGTTTACGGCGATGGTGGTGGGTTTTAATGGGTGGTGGTGGTTGGGGGGTGGTGGGTTTTAGTGGGTGATGGTGGTTGACTGTGAGTAATGGTGGTGGTTGGTGAGAGGGTGACGATGGGTGGATGACAGTGAAGGTTGGTGGCGATAGTGGGTGATGGTGGTGGAGGTGGTGGTTAGTGGTGATGAATAGTGGTAATAGTTGGCGACAGGTGGTTATGGTGCTTAATGGTGATGGTGGTGGCGGCGTTCAGATGATTGTTGTAGTGGAATTAAATATAAAAATTATATAATGGTAAAAGTTTTTAAATAATTTCTTTCATTGAAAATATTTTTATCAATAATTGATTTTATAGATTTTTGACCTTAAAAATGTTGAACCCGGCCTAAAGCCAAATTTCTCTGTTTTTTTTTTATTATATTGATACATCATGACACTAAGAATGTATTGCATGTGATGATTACGTTGAGTATCCCCCCCCCCCCCTCCCACCCCCAAATCAACTGCATAAAAACCATAGAAATAGCAAAGGAAACCCGCCTTCTCCTCCTAAAAATCAGCTAAACAATAGCATATAATAGCAACTCAATAACTACTCCCTAAATATATGGAAACTAAATAAATCTACATTAACAGAAAATAAACACAATAAATGCTGCCATGCAAACTCATTATCTCGTGTGAGCTGCGGATTCTTTAATGGACCCACACCTCTTCTCCTCACGCATCTTCATTCTCCTCACACGATTATAGGCATTCTTCAGTTCTCTACCGACATTCGCATCATTCCCATCCCTATGAAGACGATCCTTGTCGTCAAGGCTAAAATCAGGGAACTATAGTCGTATCATATTGAGATCCTCCCACGTGGCCTCTTCCGCTGGCAAGGACTCCCACTGAATCAGCACTTCCCACCGGAACCAATTATCCTTCTTTATTCGTCGATACTTCCAAGCTATTTGTGGTCAAACGACAATATTTCCTTCATCATCAATAGCTGGTGGTTGTGGCATCACTTTGCTTGGATCACCGACATGCCGTTTCAGCTGGGAAACATGAACTACGAGGAGTATATGTGCTGACGAAGGCAAATTCAGCTTATATGCCACTTCACCAACTCTCTTCACCACCTGATACGGCCCATAAAACTGACTACCTAGCTTATATAATGCTCGTTGGGTAACTGAAATTTGTTGATACGGTCGTATTTTAAGATAAACCCAATCTCCAACCTCGAAAACTTCCTCACATCGACCCTAGTCCTGATAAGTCTTCATCCGGTTATTTGCTCTCTCGAGATTTCCTTGAGCTCACGAAGTAAAGCATCACGAGTTTGCAGTTCATGGTCGACCTTATTATTCACAAATGAACCCACCTAGTAACTAACCAACATAGGGGGTTTTCGACCATAGAGATACTTAAAAAGGCGATCGCTTAGTAGAAGCATGATATGTGGTATCATACAAGTATTCGATCCATTACAAAAAATCATGCCACCTCTTGGGATTCTGGTGAACAAAGCAGCGCAAGCAATGTTCAAAGGTGTGGTTGGTTACCTCAGTTTGACCATCCGTTTAGGGATGATACGCCCAATTCATGGACAATTGGGACCCTTGCAATCGGTTAATTTCGCTCCATCGCGATCAGTAATCACGGACTTTGGGATCCCATGGATCTTGATAACATTATCAACAAACAGTTGTGCCACTGACTTTGCAGTATACGGGTGAACCATAACAATGAAGTGGACATACTTTGTCAATCTATCCACCACCACAAGAACTCCATTGTATCCATTAGAAAGAGGTAGACCCTCAATAAAATCTAGTGTAATGTCATCCCAACTCTGGTCTGGGACGGGAAGTGGCTGTAAGAAGCCAGATGGTTTTCGAGCATCATATTTCACCCGCTGACAAACATCACATGCAGCTACATATTGGCGAATATCGCGTCGCAGCCTCGGCCAAAAGAAGATATTAGAAATTCTGACCACAGTCCGGTACACCCCATAATAACCCCCCACCATTGAATCATGAAAGTGTTGCATAATGTCTCGACGTAACGGGTCATCAAATGGAACCACCACCCTGCTGTGATACTTCAACAGCCCATCAGCCAACTCAAAGTCTTTCACCGATTCGAGATCAGATGCGAGCTTGCCCAACACTTCCTGTCAATAATCACAAGACATGAGGAGAGCCTGAATTCCCACACTTCAAACACAAGACCTGAAGTAGCTTGTAGTTCAACAGAATCTTCCCTTTGCGATAGCACATCCGCCACCATATTTTCCTTCACTAGCCGATATATAATATTGAAGTCAAAACCCATTAGTTTGGCTACAAATTTTTGTTGCTCCGGAGTGGTAATTCGCTGCTCCAAAAGGTGCTTGAGTGGTTGTTGATCCGTCACTATGGTAAACTTCCTTCCTATTAGATATGGCCACCAAAGACGAACTACCTCTACCACAACCAGCATCTCCTTGGCATAAATAGGCCAAGTTTTCTTAGAGGATCCCAACGCCTTGTTAAGATAGGCCAAAGGTCTCCCTTGTTGGACCAGCACAACAACAATGCCGATATCACTTGCATCCGTATGGACTTTGAAACTCATACTAATGTCTGGCATCGCAAGAACCGGAGTTCGTGACACAGCCTCCTTGAGCAGCTCGAACTCTTGAAGACTATCAGCCATCCACCTAAACCCATCTCGCTTTAGCATGTCAGTAAGTGGTTTCACAATTAATCCATACCTTTCCACAAACTTGCGGTAGTAGCATGTCAAGCCTAGGAACCCCCGTAAAGCAGTGATGTTTTTCGGCTGTGGCCATGGTCTCATGGCTTCCACCTTACGTTCATCCATACTAACACCATTCTGTGAGATGATATGGCCCAGGTACTCCACTTAAGTTTGCCCAAATGCACACTTGGAAGCTTTGACATAAAACTTGTTGCTCATCAAAATTTTAAAAACTGTCCGAAGATGTTGTAAATGCTCCTGCCAACTTCGTGAGTATACGAGTACATCATCAAAAAAAAATGATAACATACCGTCGCAAGTAATCTTTAAAGATAGTATTCATTGCAAATTGGAATGTCAATGGCGCATTGCATAGGCCAAATGACATTATGAGATATTCATAATGACCATTGTGTGTGTGGAATGCCGTCATGTGAATATCTTCCTCCTTAACCTGAATCTGATAGTAACATACACGTAGATTCAATTTTGAAGAGAACTGAGTTTCGCCAAGCTCATCAATCATATCATCAACAGTTGGGATAGGAAAACGGTCCTTTAACGTGGCCCGATTGAGAGCTCTATAGTCCGTGCAAAATCGCCGAGGCTAGTCTTTTTTTTTTTTTGACAAGAATAACCGAGGAAGAAAATGGGCTATTACTAGGCCGAATCAACTCGTTGTCTAGCATCTCATTGACTTGTTTTTCAATCTCAAATTTTTGAAAGTATGCATATCTATAGGGACCCACATTCACTGGTCGGCTTTCAGGCAGTAATGGAATAGCATGATCAAAAGACCGTTGAGGAGGCAGCTCCTTGGGTTCGACCAAAACCATAGAAAATTCCTTGAATCTCGACAGCAAATTCCCCCTCTCTAGACGCTACATCATCACCGAAAATAGCAAAGTAAATAGTGTAACACTGTGCACCATCTTGCCGCATCCGCTTTATGCTCCTCATTTCAACTTGATCAACCTCTAAACCTAGGCCATCCTGCATCTACAATGTGACTCATCTGTCCCCCCATGCAAACTCCATGATCCTTTTTGCATAATCGGACACCATTCTTCCCAAGCCTTCCAACCACTACACTCCCAGTACAACATCCAGGCCCACCAATGGTAAGACAAACAAATCCGTTCTAACCTTAATACCTTGTAGCCAAATAGGCACGTCCTTGTACAAACCATCACAGATCAGTTTTTCTCCATTAGCAACGCGGACACTAAAGGATTCAATTGATTCCATTGGAAGCTTGAGCTTCTCTGCCAAATCACACCTGATAAAGTTATGCGTAGATTTGTTATCAACTAGTATCGTAATTGGTCAATTATGTATCCAGGCATGAACGCGCATGATTTCGCGGTCCCTTGACCCCTACCTAGGCCTGAGCAGATATCTCTGCATCTTGCCCTTTTATCGAATCACAACCACCTCCTTCTTCATTCGGCCCTTCATGATTTTCCTCAGCCTCATCTTCGTTGTGAGCAGGTTCAATCAGGAAAACTCGTGACACTTTGAAACGATGTCCTGGAACAAATTTCTCATCGCAATTAAAACACTGGCCCTTCTCCCGCTTCTTTTGCATCTTATCCCACATCAACTTCTTAACTCCCGTAGGCGGTGGTTTGGATAGTGGTGAGCTTATACCCATCGGCTTAGAATTTGTTTTACCCGCTTCGCTTCTCCACCCTTTGCGGTTATCAGCAATACGATCATCTTCAATTCTGGCGGCTTCCATGGCTTGCTGGATCGTCTTGGGCCTGGCCACCTTCACGACCTTAGATAAGTCAGATTTGAGACCTCCAACATACGCGCCTATGAGGGCATTCCCAGGCCACCATGTACATGAGTAGCTAGTTTTTCAAATTCTTTGTGGTATTCGCGCAAGCTTCTTACCTATTTCACATGTGATAAAGCTTCATCATAATTTAGATACTCGATTGGGCCAAATCGGATGAACATCCCCCTTTCAAAATCTTTCCACCGAATTGATTTCTTCTTCTTGCAATAAATCCACGAAATTCACTACCACCAGACATTGGCCTCTCCTTCTAGATAAAAGGTGGCATATCGAACCCTCTCCGAGCGTTCAATCTCCTGAAATTCAAAATATTGATTGGCACGAGTTAGCCACGAGATTGGATCCTCTCCCTTAAAGTTTGGAAAGACCATCTTGTGCTTGTGATTGTCCTTCTTGCTACCACTACGCTGAGTGCTGCTTTCTTCGGCTGATGACGACTTGCTATCGGACTCTTTTGTTTTATCAGAGTCATCTTCATCTGAATCTGACACCATCGTTTTACTTGTGCGATCTTTGTGCGACCCTTCTGAGCCTTTGTTACCAAGGCTTCGTCGGATGTTCTGTTCCACTTGTGCGATTCGCTTTTGAGTCTCCTGGTTACTTGGTTTACAACTCCAAAGTGATGACCTGCATGCTCAATTCCAGGTTCTCAATTCGCTCCTTGTGTGATGCTGGTCTTTTTACCATAATTCAAAAAACAAGCTTCGTTCATGGCTTCCGAGAAAAGGTTGAAGGACCCCTCTCAATGAAAACACCAATGATGAAAGCTGTAGTTCTTAGAGGTGAATTCTCCAGTCTGAACACAAGTTCAATCTGAGTAATGCGGTGTTTGAGAACAAGTTCTCTGTTTTCTTATTAATTTCCCCCCCGATCAATTGCGTACAAACCATAGAAATATCAAAGAAAACCTAAGGAAACCCGACTTCTCCACCTAAAAATAAGCTAAACAATAACATATCATATCAACTCAATAACTACTCCCTAAATATATGGAAGCTAAATAAATCAACATTAATAGAAAGATCAATGCTATTGGGATATAATTTATGAACATAATTTGAGGACATAATGAGTTGTTACCAATGATATGATAATGAATTCATTAACGTTACAATGAGACCCATCATTAAATATATTTCACCATCATTTCAAATTCATAAATTAAGAAAAAGAATGCTACCTTCAAGAACGAAAAATAATTTCCAACTTTACAGCAAGAACACACCATAAGATAAGGGTTCAAGGGCAGAGTTAACAAATTGTTTTTTAAATGAACATTTTAACAAGTTTATTTTTTCTCTCAATTGATTAAAATGAATTGATATATTTTTGTTTATTTATATGATGTTGCATGCTTTAAAGTTTATTAAACATAAAAGACCAAAAATTAATATATATGATGTATACAAGCAAAATTAAATAAATAATAATTAAATTTTACAAAAATTAAATTAATTAACCCATATGCAGTTGAGTCTATAAGAAAGATAAGTTTTTGAAACCTGAGAAGAAAAGAGAAATTGATAACACAATCAAAACAGATAAAAAAAAAAAAAGAAGAAGAAGATTATTTAAATTTAATTAATTTAAAATTATTAATAAAATAATAATAAAATTTTACATGGGTCATAACTATGATAGGTGTAAATATTGGGTAAAATAGTTACAATACATCAATAGTATCACATGGTATAACTATCTAATATTAAATAAACAAATGGACAAGGTGACCCCACTTGTTTTACATTTGGTGGTAATATTGAGAGCATCTCCGATTTTTACTTTTTTTAAATTCAAATTTAAATTTAGATAAAAACACTCTTAAAAATCTTCTCCACTATTAAATTCAAATTCATAATAAATCAAAGGAGACTTATTTTTTTTTTAGTCAAATAAAAGGAGACTCAATTTCATACTCAAATTTTTAATGGTGAGATTTTATATTCTTTTAAAGATTTAATGGTCATATTTTATCCTCTTTTAAATTTAAGTTTGTTTTTATTTAAATTTAAATTTATCTATTAGAGAGGTGTATATTAAATTACGTTTTTTACTTAAATTTAGGTAATAGTTTGACTTTCCATTACGATGGTCTCATGTGATGTAAGTGTTAGACCCAACATTGAGAAATACTCACCTGGATTTCAACTACTTTTTCTGTTGAGACTTTCGCCTTTGTCAACTATTTTTGCTTTAGAAACTTTTGTTGCCGTTACGTTTGCCGTTAGCTCCCGTCAACCACAACTCTTTGGTTTAATGCGTTGGCATTTTGTCAATTTCAAGCCTCCTTTACTTTTTGGTCGGCATTGACTCCTTGCACAAAATACTTTAAAATAAATTACTTACTCTCTTCTTAAATATATGTTATTTTACGTAATTTTTTTTGTTTTATAATATCTGTTGTTTAATGAAATTAAAATATAATTAATATTTTTTCTTCCAAATTTATCCTTAACTTTTCAATGCATTAGATTAGGTGGAGGATAAGTGTCTTTCATATTTATTTTTTTTCCAATACGTATTGAATAAAAGTATTTTAGTCTTGTGTAATTATTTTTTACTCATATTACAACTATTTAATAGTTTCCTTATTCCTTGTACAAAAACCTTAAACGACAGATATTTAGGAACGGATGAAATATAAATTATCCCTTTAAAGAATGTAACCTATTTTTTTATCTAGTTTTTAAAGTTTTAATTACAACAATTAAACCTTTCTTCTTATTTAATTTCAACTTATTCCATTCTTCCTAATTGACTTATTAATTATGACAAAATGACTTTCTAGGTCCAACAAGAGACTTGGGTAAATGGACAATTTTTGGGTGAAACAATCCTCAAGCATATGTAACAAAACCTTAATTCGTTTCGTTTGATTTTGAGAAAAAGAAAGATATCAATCTTAAAAAAATAGATATAAAATGAAAATGTGAAAGGTAACGTGAGATAAAGAGATAAATACCTATATATCTTAGTGAGAGATTTTTTTGTTTAACAAATATACCTTGATAAACAAGTCATATGACATCCTTCTATTGCAACCAGTTATTAGATTTGGATGAAAAAATTGAATCCAAACTCGATTAAAATTTTAAAGATGCAATTATAATTTTAAGGGTGTAAAATATAAATTACCCAAAACTTTACGTGCACTACTAGTGAATGCTCTACGTGGCAAATCAGCAAAAACTATGAAGTCAAAAGGTTCAACACACTGTCAAAGAGTTAACGTCGTAGCAGCGTTGATAAAAATACCAAAATGTCCCTGAGAAGATTTATTTCATACAGATTTTTGTAGGGAGAATTACACCTAAACCCCTTAAAGTTTGTAATTTAATCATTTAGATTATTAATATTTAAAATATTACACACAAACCATCTGATGTTTGTATGCACGTAATACTTAAAACCTTACTACTAATATCCGCTAATATTTCTATTAGTAAATTATACTCAGACTCCTTAAAATTTGTATATGTGTAATATTTAGATCTCTCAAGTTTAAAATATTATACTTAAATAAAAAAAATAATCCAATTAAATATAGAATATCAAATATTTTAAATTTTATAACCAAAATTTATATTATATTATTTTATTTACTGAAATAAAATTTAAAATTAAAATTCATTTTTTTGTTAAAAAAATTATAATTAGTATACAATAATACTATCATTGGAATAAAACTAAAAAATCAAATAAATAATTAAATTGTAATAAAACACAATATCTTCAATCTTTAATTAGACTAATTTGGTCGTTTAATAGATTTTGTTAATTTGTAACTAATAAAAGGTCAAAGTGTAATATTTTAAATTTAAGGGGTTTAAATATTACATAATTATAAATTTCAGGAAGTTTGAGTATAATTTACTAACGGACATTGACGACAGAGATTTAAGTGTTATACGTATACAAAATTTAAGAGGTTTATGTGTAATATTTCAAATGTTAGAAGTCTAAATTATTAAGTGATAAATTTTAGGGGGTCTGAGTATAATTCTCCTTTTTTTTTTTAATTATTCACATAATTTAAGAGAGAATTTCTAATACCAAAATAATATAAGTTGTCAAGACGCTTTTGATAGTAGCTTTTCTTTTTGGCCAAAAACATTTTAAGTATACATTTTTTTCTCAAAGGAAAATACAAATCTATCACTTTTAAAAACAGTCAACAAATGTTCACTTTTTTTATTTTTGCTTGAAGAAAAAAAGAATTTAATAAAATTCGTTAAAAATAATTAGAAATTTGGTCACCAATTTGGTATCCTCCAGATCCGTGGTTCCCAGCAAAATTTTAAGATTAAAATCGTTTGGACCTAGTTCTTTGACTTAATTTATTAATTGAATTTATTTAAAAATCAGTGCTAGTTTTTTTTTTTTTTCCTCCAGTACTAGTTCAACAACGATGGATTAGGACAGATTGTTAGATTCAAGTACTTCTCAAAGCAATTTTTTCCACAGAAATTGTCATGCACACGATTGTTAGCTAAATCTGTATCTCATGCACACCATTGTGTCATGGACATGATTATGTCAATCTTTGATTGTATTGACTGGATGCAATGTAGAAAAAAATATGTATTTTTATTTCTTTTATGAGTTGCTTGTTTTTATTTTTTTTTACATGACATACGTTGTGTGTAAATAAATTTAAATTATATTTTTTTATAAAAAAATTAAATTATCTGTATAATTTAATTAAATAATAAATTAAGTGTTAAATAATTAATTCGTATTTTAATTATTAATTTATTCTATAAATTTTTGAGTAACTAATTTGTCATTTATTTAGATATAGTTTTGACCTCTTTAGGCTTTTGCGTCTCTAATTATATTATAAAATTATTAATTTTTATTTTTTTTAATAAATTAATTAGATCACTTGTAATATTTGCAAAAAAATAAAAGATAACATATATTTAACCATAGAATTCAACTTGATAACTATATATATATATATATATATATATATATATATATATATATATAGCAATTTAACATATATAGAACTTTACTTCTTTATAGATATAAATAATTATATATTACTGTACTATTAATAAATGAGTTCAAAAGTCCTTATAAAAGAATTTAAAATAATTTAAAAGTCAAATAGGTGTAAAAAAAAAAGATAAAAGTATAAAAGTGGGTATAATTAATTTTATCATAATAATTAGGGATAAAATATAAAATCAAGATATAATTAGAATTGAGTACATGTCCATGAAATTGGAGAAGTGACATTAATATGAGAGATATTAAGAGAAAATCGATTTATTTGATTTTTTTTTCTTTGCTATTGGCTTGGCTGATTTGACCATGTTTATAAATCACTAGTAATGCAAAAAAGTGATTTGATCTCTATCAATGGGAATGTGAGAAGTAAAGGTAAACTTAAAATAACTTTAAATGTAATAATGAAAAAAAGATAGGGTAAATTACAATGACATGCCCTGTAGATTGACCTAATTATAGAGGTATTCCCTCAATTATTTGAAAAATACTAACCTCTCTCGTAATTTATATATAAGTTTCACATAATACCCTACCTTTAGTGCTGTTGGAGACAATCTCAAAATATGATTACATCAGTAAAGTTTTCCTATTGGATACTCAAATTGTCAATGAACAAAATTATAGGTTAAGTTATATTCCAAATCAAAACAATCTTTCTTTCTCACTTTGTTACCAGACAAAACCTGAAAAAGGAAGTCGACAATATTTAAGATATTTAAAGGGGTGTCTTTGTAATTACAGTAATTTATAGTAGGTGCTACTGTGATTTATCTAAAAAATATACGATAACTTATGATCTAATAAAAAAAATGACTTGTAATAGAGGATAATAGATAAATATGATTTATATAGCGGACTCTAAATAACTGTGTTTATGATTTTATTGAGTTTAATTGAACGATTAGGATAGACATTCAAACCTCAATTATTCCATTTTTTTTTAAACGCGACACTTTATCATTGTGTGTAACATCACATTTTTGTCGTTATAACAAATTAATGCATCAACAAAATAAGGCCCAACTTATAATTTCATTTCAAAGGAAGGCTAAAATAGATTATTTGATAAATAGAAATGCATATATTTTGATTATCTTCAAACTTCTCATGTTATTTACAATCGAAGTTTCGAGTAATATATGAATAATTTCGTCAAATCTGCAATGGGCGGGGTAAGAAATAGAGGTGAGGTGACTAACTTATTCACTTTATTCAATCTAAAGGTTGGTTAAGTGCTCTATCTGTCGGGGTTGCGCGGGAGGTGGGGGCATTTGCTTTAGAGATGGCAGCAGGAAAGATGGGAACACGAACAAGATAGCGTATGTTTTTTTTTTTCATCCTCACTACTTAATTTATAGTCGAATATGAAAAATATGAATTTCTCGCATTCTACTTTTTGGCACGTTGTTACGAGTAGATTTTGGAATCACAAACATTTAAATAAAATTTAGGCATGAATGTAATGATTATAAGTTCCCTCTAGATATAATTAGTACTTAAGATCCATATATAATAATAAAAGCCCAAATATTAATATGACAAAGCTCCTAAATAAGGAAGATCAACAACATTATTATTCACATACATATAGATATACACATGTACATACTTGTATATGCATAAATATAGGTGTTTATAAGGGATTTTCTTTTTATTTAAGTTGTTAGTATAGGATTTGATTTTGTTGTCGGTAACTATCATAAAATAAAAGATTTTCATTACATATTTATTTAATTTTTGATTAGATATTATTATAGGGAGGGGAATGACAGAGTTTCATCAAATTCACAACTATAATATCCAATAACGAGACGGTGAACTTTAGACGAACCGCTAACCTCAACATTTGTTATAGGAAGTAATTTTTGGTAATCCAAATAATAAGATACTTTCCTTTTTTGCCCCAAATCCCAGCCATGATATTTTGTAACAATCTCTATTTGCTGGCATGTGGAGGAAAATGGTTCTCTAGTAATACCTTGAGAAATTCAAGGTCAAAAATGTATTTTCACTTCCGACGTGTATTTACCGAGTACAGTAAATTTCGCGGCGGGAGCACCCCACACCAACCCAACAGACTGCTGCGTTAAATACACAATTGCAGAGAGAGAGTGTGGAACTAGAGAGATAGAGTGAGAGAAACGAGAGAGAGAGAGGAAAAATGTGCCCAAAGCAAAAGCAAAAACACCGGAGCTCCTCCACCTCCGCCACCACTACCGCCGCCGCGACAACCCCCGATTGGATCCAAGAAACGATCAACGGTGGATCTCTCAAACACGTGGACCTCGACAAAGGATCCAACGGCTGGGCCTCACCGCCCGGCGACCTCTTCAATCTCCGGGAACCAAACTACTTCTCCAAGAAGCAAAAATCCTCCACCGGCTCATCTCTCCTCCACACCGTCGCCGTGGACTGGCTGAAATCGCCCCACGGAAAGCTTGATCACGTACTTTCTCGTCCCGACAATCGAGTAATAACCAGTCTTAGAAAAGCCCAGTCCCACGGTCAGTCCTTGAAATCGTTCATCATCGCCGTCAATCTTCAAGTTCCGGGCCGAGATCATTACAGTGCGGTCTTTTATTTCTCCACTCTCGATGAGCCCGTTCAGCCCGGTTCACTCCTCTACAAGTTCATAAACGGCGATGATCAGTATCGGAACAATCGATTCAAAATTGTGAACAAAATTATCAAAGGCCCATGGATTGTGAAGGCTGCTGTGGGGAATTACTCGGCCTGTTTGCTTGGTCGGGCTTTGAATTGTCGGTATTTTAGAGGTGAAAATTATCTTGAGATTGATGTTGATGTTGGGAGCTCGGCTATTGCGAGTGCGATTTTGCATTTGGCTTTGGGATATGTGACTGCGGTGACTATTGATATGGGGTTTCTTGTTGAGGGTCAGAGTGAGGAGGAATTGCCGGAGAGGTTGTTTGGGGCTGTTAGGGTTTGTCAAATGGAGATGTCATCGGCGACGGTTGTTGATGCGACGCCGGCGAGGAAATTGGTGGCTAATTGTCATGGCCATTTCCATCTAAATCGAGTTCAAGCTGAGGATGATGATGACAAGAATGATTAGGATTTCTGAAAGTGGTAAGGTTTTTTTGGTGTATTAATTTTCATTAGTGATTTTGGGAAAACCCTTCTATGGGATTGATGGTTGTAGATAATAACTGTTGGCAATGTTGGGTTTTCTCTCTGTGGAATCCGTGCTTTATGGCTTTGGAAATTCTAATTATTATCCAAATTTAACTTCTAAGAATTGTGCATTGTGAAGCTCAGCAAGCAATAATGACCATGTATATTAGAATTTGGGGGCACTTATTGTGCGCTCGTAATTCTGATGATTATGTATTTATTCCATCTATCCACCAAAAGATTCTCGATGAATGGAGATCTAACTCAATTAAGATTTTGCCTATGTTGTTTACAAAGCAACGTGGAAGCAATTCCTTCTAAGCTGTATATTGTGGGGGTGGGGTGGGGGTGGTGGTAATAATGGGTCTTGTGGGTTCTTGTGGTATCTAAAGTCCCTTACAACTTATTAACCCACCTTTGATCTAATTGTATATAGTCCCGAATTCATGTCAATCCATGTGCCAAATTTATATGACTGGTTAAATCGACTATGACCCGAATCCGTTAACGTAAAACTCATTTTCGTTAACTTCGTACTGCGTTGAGGGGTAAGTATCAAGATTGTCATTGAAATCATCCTAATGGAATGTGGTGGTAGCAACTTGAATATCTAGTGAAATCATGGTCTTTGGGCAGAAAAATGGGATAGGCTTGCCTTTCTTAGTGTTGAAATCTCCTGGTTGGGAGCAAAAATTTTCCTTGATTATATTTGAAAACACCCCTTCGTTTTACTTTGAAAACTTGAAGTATCTTGCTCTTGTGCTAGAGACACAGGATTAAAACTTATTTTCATTTACTTGGGGGTTGGTGGGATGGTTCCTCCCCCTGTATAACCTTTCATTTCCCCCAAGACAAAGAAGGATCATTGCTTGCAACAATGGAAGATATAAAAAGAGGTTGTGTGTAATTTTGCCCCTTCTATTAAAAGATTTTGTGTTAAACAGATGATGCAAGAGAGTGGATTATTTATATATGTTGTTTTGATTGTTTTTTCTGAAATGGATGATTCTTCTTGTTCGTTGTTTATGATTATTTTGTTTGTTATACTGTGGATTGGGTCGGTGGTAGCGTGGTGAGGTCTTCAACTGTATAGATTTTTGGTGGTGGTCTTGGTGGGATCCTCTTTTCTGGAAGGGGATAAAGTATCAAGTATCATGTGCACCACTTGGCGGAGTATGGGGAAATGCCAGTTTTGAAGTGTGCTGCTGTGGTGTATCAGTTTTATTTTACACACCTGTTTGCGAGTGGGGACCATGGTGCAAAGCATCGGAACTTATTGTTGACTAGAAACTTGCTCATTTCTTATTCTTTCATGTTTTATGTAAACCATGAGTTTAATGCTTTGGAAATAAGTGCATCACCCGCTGTGCTTATGGACTAAACTGCACGGCTCACTTCGTTAATGGTGATTATAAAAGTAGTATAATACTCTCAAATATACACTGTCTATCCACTAATCTTAGCCATTCAGTCGAATGCACAATGTCTAACCTACAAAAGAGGAGAAATTATCCAACATATTGAAGTTCTGTGAGTGGTGCAGTTGGGAGAGGTATTGAGAGGGCTGGTGGTATTGAGAGGACTGGTTCTGGGAGTGGTGTCGTTGGCAGAGGTTTAGTGCAACACAAAGGTCCAAGTTTAATATACTTTGGAAGTTTAGTGCAGCACAAAGGCCCACTCAAGCTAGTGCAATCTCCACCTATTCAGTCTACAAGGAATGTGTACAGTGCAACAAGTGGGTGGTCCAGTTAGTGGCAAAGCAACTATATCCAGCATATTGGGTGGAATTAGGGCCAATAAATGACCAAAATTCAGTCTGAATATTTTTTTGTCTTATGTTATATCAATCAGTAACAGTTTATGTGCTCTTTTGTTTGTATTCAACATCTATGTTTTTTTTGGTTATATGGGTAGATGGTTGTCAGTATTTTGCTCTTTTGAAAATTTGTATTGACCATGATATAAGTAGCAGATGGTTGTGAGCATTTGGTATTTATATGTCCAGCAATCCATAGATGTTTATGAGCAAAACGTGTTCTATTGTGTCAAATAGTTGTTCATTACATGGAATAGGTTAACATTACAAATATTGCATAAACATTCCATTAGATATTACATCTTCACATTACATTAAAGACTAAAAAGGCCTTCAAAGCATAGACAACATGTTTCTAGTTCTTCCTTAAGACTAAAACCAACACTGCCAAATAAATTATAGGCACAATGAACATTCTTTTTAACATAGACTTCATGGCCACTTGATCCAACTTCACGACCTCTTGATTAGTTTCATTCATCGTCATCCTATTGCTCAATTTTTTAAATTCATCATCATTTAGAGTGGTAGGCATACTAGCTGAGATGTCCGAAACTAAAATGAGATAATACCATGCACAAAATTCACAATTTTTAGTCTTAATACAATCTTCCCTTCATCGGTTTATCGGAATCAACCACTTTGATTATCGTTTTAGGCCCACACACGTATTTGGATACTAAACCTCAAATCCATAGACTCCCCTGCCCTTGAGTTGCTCAATTATGACATCCAATTCTAACAAAATATTATTATAAAGTTGTTACAAAAATTTTAAATAAAAATAATTAGAATAAGAAAAACATATTTCAATAAATTACCTTTTTTTATGGTAGTTTCCTTCCTCCAACTCCGGTAAGCAGCAAGTCCAACTCCATACTAGCTCCAAAGTCCAAACAATAGCTTCTGAACGAAATGAAGATTTGAAGCTTAGAAAGCTTTTAACATAGTGTAAGATGGTTATTTTTGACATTTGATTATATTTATTTTGGAGGACCTTGATTATTTCATTGGTCAATCGCCAGCTCGTCTTCATCACTTCCGATTGTTCTAACGAAAAACTTAATAAATGTAATTTAGTCGATAAGCACATGGGATCATGTTCTTACTTCTAAAGCATAGAAGAATTATCTGCTCAAGGAATAAACCACGAGAGAATAAACTAGAATTTGCCCCCTTTTTTTTTTTTTCAGTGGATCAAACCTCTCATGCCTGGTTCACTGATCAAGCACCATCTTCTAATCCTTGCCTCACGCCGCGAGACTCAGCCTGGCGCCAGAGGGGTTTTGAGTGTTTGGTTGTTGATTTTGATTTTCTAATATCGGGCTTTTGTCTGAGTCTCGCTTTATGCTCTTTTATCTAGTTGATAGGTGCTGATGGTGTTGAAATGACGTTTTTTGTTGTGGTGGGGTGGGGTGGGTGGGTGGGTGGGGGGGGGGGGGGGGTGGGGAAGGGAGGGGTTGATCCTAATTGTGAGTGGAGTTGACCTTGGCTGCCAGAGTGAAATGCCCATTTGATGGTCATTACCTCTCTCTCATTTTTTCGCCCACCATAATATCTTCCAATTTGTGTAAGTAGATGCACCTAATAGTTTCTTAGGCATTATGACTTATTTTTGGTTGCATTTGAAACCGGATCTGTCAGTGCTGCTTGAAAAGGTTGTCATTGTAATGATGCTAACGGTAGAGGTGTTGGACAGGTGACATGAAAACTAAGCGTTGAAATTGAGATGGTGATGGGATGTGTTTAATTCTCTATTTTTTCTTTGTGGATAAATATAACGACGAGTCCATTTAATTGATTACATACACAATTAAAATAAAACACAACAAAAAAATCATAAACATCAATACATCATATATAAAAAAATAATAAATATTAATAAAATATTAGAATTTTAAAATTTTTGAATTTTAATTTAGGTTAATTGTAAATTACACCTTGAAAGATCGTTCGAATCTCAATTTATACCCCCAAAAATAAAAAATCTCAATTTACACCATTAAAGATAGAAATTTATATCAATGTGCACCGCAAAGATCAAAATTCTTAATTTGCACCATCAAAAATAGAAATTTGTATTAATGTGCATATCAAAGATCAAAAATCTCAATTTACACCCTCAAAGATAGAAATTTGTATCAATGTGCACCTAAAACTATTTGCCGTCAGTTTGTTGCCTAAAATTAAATTGATAAATTATACCTAGATCCCCTTATTCTTGTCACTTAATCATTTGAATATTTTCACATTTAGAATATTATTCATACATCTCATGACATTTATACACGTGTAACACGTAACACTTTTTAGTTGGTATCAGTTAATATAACTGTTAAAAAATATAATTTTATCATAATAAAAAATTCTAATTTCATGTTAGGATAAAATCATAAAGGATAATATGAAATTATAATTTTTTATTAGAATAACATTATATTTTTTAATGGTTATATTAATAGATATCAACAAAAAGGGGGTTACGTGTTACACATGCACAAACGTCGTGAGATGTAGGAGTAATATTCTAAATGTGAATGAGTTCAAATGATTAAGTAACAAGTATGAGGGGATTTAGATATAATTTATTAATTTAATTTTAAGCAACAAACTGACGACGATTAGTTTTAGGTGTACATTGATATAAATTTTTATCTTTGAGGGTGCAAATTGAGATTTTTGATCTTTGGGGGTACACATTAATACAAATTTTTATCTTTGAGAGTGTAAATTGAGATTTTTAATCTTTAGGGATACAAATTAAAATTTAAATGATCTTTCGGGGTACAATTTATAATTAACCCTTTAATTTTTAAAGATTAATATATATATGTGTGTGTGTGTGGTGGGGGGGGGATACTAAAATTTTGTAGGTATTCTTTCTTCCTATCCGATTTTTTTATGAAATACTAAAAGATTTTTTGTTGGCCTATCTGATTCTTTTGAGTTGCGCCGCTTAATAAGACCGAATAGAGTAAGATAAAATATAATCAAAATTTACGAATAATTGAAAATTTAAACATCCATGACACCCACTATCATGAAATTAACATTGAAAATTGATGGGACTTTTATGAAATGCCCTATGATGAAGACACGTGTCCTCGGTTTTGCTAAAACACTGTTGTTTGGATCAAGCACCTTCGGCGATGAATGTCCTCGCCCCCGAGGTACCAACCAACACGTGTCCTCGGCAGTATATTTTACAACCAACACGTGTCCTCGGTCATCTATGTACCTCGGTCGCATACCTCCCTCGGTCCCCGAGACGAGCCTTTCCTCGGTGCCGAAAGTTACTCCGTCCTGGACGCTTCATCTACTCCGGGATAAGCTATTGACGTATAGGTCACTAGCCTAGTCTAGTCTAGGCTGCTCATCATGACCTCGTCTTACACAATTAATGTCAGAACATACTGGAATACAGAGGTCACAGCCAATAGGGGATGGACGCGTGGCAAATGATGTCACATCAAAGACAGACAAACCGCATGCCGTTGCTGACACGCGGCTTGGGAAAGCAAACAATTAATTGCACCCTTCTGTTGATGAGACCGCATTCAATGCGGTAAGGCTCGGAAATGAAAGGCAATAAATACTCCTATTACAGAGCATTTATTGCATCCTCCCCGAGAGGAGCGTATTGTACCGTCGGCATCCCGACGACTCAGCATTGATTGCTCGGGACCCCGAGCAGTCAATTAGAGAAGACATTCCTCATCAAAATCAATACACACGCTACCTGTGCCTAATGATCACCTACTGACCACACTGACAGCAATCATGAGCTTTTAAGGTATAAATACTCCTCCCAAAAGGCAAAGCGGGTATGCAATCACAAACTCTCTACTACAATACATCTTTTTAAGTGTTTTCTTCTTCCTCTCTCTCATTCAAAGACTGACTAGACCGTCGGAGGGGATACGCCAGAACACACTCCGGCACCCTTCTAACTTGTTCCTCTTTATTCCAGGAAAACCTTTCACACGTACATGATCGATCTTCCTTTCCCAGGATCTTCCGTTGCCGTTCCAGGTTACCACCGTACCTTGCAGGCTGTCTCAAGCAGCGTGTTTGGCCACTCGATCGGCTCACTCAAAGTTCACCAGGGGAGAGATCTGTTCCCAATATTTTTATATTGTGCAGGATCTTGCACGCACAATCTGGCGCCATCTATGGGAAGCGACTAATTTTCCTAGTTTTGTCTCTGTAAAGAACAGTGACCATGGTGAACACCAGACAGAAAGGGAAAGGACCCCACCAAAGGAATCATGAGTTACAAGCTCCCTGCCATCACGGAGGGAGGGATCGCACCAATACGAATAAAAGTGCCTCTACTCGGTCAAGGGGGGTAACTCCTCAAACCAGTATGAGGATCAGGTCAGGAGGATCAGCCCCCTTGGCTCGTCAATTGGCAGAGGTGATTGAAGAAAAATTTGGCGATAGGTTACGTCAGCTGGAGAAGGACAATGTAAACGTCCTTAGCCGGCTCGACGAGTTTGCCATCTCAGGCGGAGGGTCGAGGGATTCATTCCTTTCCCGAGGACTCCCCGTCCAAGAGGCGGAGACAAAGGATCTAAGAAACCACCTAGACCACAAAGCAGAAAGCTCCAGGGCCCCGAAGCGACCCAGAGCCGGCGAACATCATCTTGACAACCATTCCAGGAAAGCGAGGCCATTGGCCCTGGACGACCTCTGACGAGGTTTGTCCAGACAGAGGAAGGGAGATGAATCCGAGGAGGACTCAACCCAATCTACACGACGCCCAAGAAACGAGGGGCTTACCAATGAACCCAGGGACTTCAGGAGGCATCCCGTCAGGGAAGAAGTCGATCTCAGAGCCCGATTAGACTCCAGAAGAAAGGGTAAGACTGTCCAGGACGAGGCCGAGGACGAGGACGAAGTCATGCAAACACCCTTCATGAGGGAAATCAGTGAG